GGACTTGGAAAAACCCAAAATGGGATCTTCGCTAGGAGAGACCATCAGGCATCCTAAAGTCGATTGAATGGCTCAAGAAAACACCAAGTGACAGGTAAGGAGCAAAGGGATGCCCCATGTAGGCCATGCCGACTCCATCACGAACGACGAGCACGGGTCCCGGTCGGACATTTCTGATTGGAGCTCTTCAAACCCTGTCACGCGAGTCATCAAGGTAACACTACTGACCCCGGCTATTTCTTTATAATCATTTCATACATCCATACACACATTCATTCCATACGCTCATGCCCCCCGGACGATTCGGGCCCTGAACCGCCCGAGGGCTCGGGAACTAAACATCGCACAAGCAGCGAAATGCATCACAACACTCCGTGTTGCGTCATGAAGCGGTAGTTGCCTCATTCGACATGAGACTGGGGTTTGAAGGCCAACCCACGAAGGGCTCGAGGCCGCCCCACGTCAAACAGAGCCAGGGGAGAAAACACAGATGAGCCCCGTGCGGCCCTCGCCCGGTCTGCCCCAAAGCAGACAGGGTCATCTCAACCTTCTCGTTCGATCCTAAACCTCTTGCCAAGCCCACAGAATCTCCATCGAGGGGAGACCGTCAGGCCACCCGGGTCGCTCTCCGAAACGACCCAGGCATCCGCCGGGTTGCAGGTAAAGGTGTAGTGGAATGTCACAAGAGAGCTATGCCGACCCCGTCACGAACGATGGACCTAGATTCCACTCGATCATACCCGTTAGCGAGCTCACCGAGCGCATCATTCAAGCCCGAGCGATCGAGGCAAGCGACAAAACTCAGCCCCTCCGGTTGTGAAAAACCAAGGATGGTGTAACGCACACAACTCAAAAACCGACCCCTACCAAAGCCCAACGGGGCTCGGGGGCTCAAGACACCAAAACACCTAGGTCTACGACCCCGAACTCGCCCCATCCGGCTACGCTTCGACTACACACCAAACGCCTGGGTCTACGACCCCGAACTCGCCCCATCCAGCTACGCTTCGACTGCACACCAAACGCCTGGGTCTGCGACCCCGAACTCGCCCCATACATCAGCTACGCTACGCCTGCACTCCAAGACTACCTGGGTCTGCGACCCCAAACTCGCCCCATCAGGATCCGTGAACCCCGGCTCACCCGATCCCTAAACTAACTAACTGCCTCGGCTGCGCGGGCTACACTGAGGCTAGGATCCACGACTCCAACTTGCCCGATCCCATGGCGCGCACCGACACCAGGACCCGCGAGCTCCATCTCGTCCGATCCCTAAAACTAACTACCTCGCCCGATCCCACGGCGCGCACCGACGGCGGGATCCACGAGCTCTGCCTCGCTTGATCCCAAAACTAAACGCCTCGGCTGCGCAACGACGCCTTGGTTGATAACTCCGTCTCAACTAAAAAACACGCACACACGCCCGCTGACAACACCCCCAGATGATTCTGCCCGAATCACCCGGGGGCTCGGGGGCTACACCCGTGAGTGCGCTCGCGCGCACCCACTGACAAAACAAAAACTTCCCCCGCTGGCAACACACAAAAAAACCCCAGACGATTCTGACCAAATCGCCCGGGGGCTACACCCGCGGGTGTGCTCGCGCGCACCCGCCGTCAAAACAAAAATCCCCCAGGCGATTCTGCCTGAATCGCCCGGAGGCTCGGGGGCTCCTGTCGAGTTCATAAACCCGGGGTCCCTCGCGGACCGGCTTCCCAACAAAGGCTCGGCCCAGCAAACAATGTTGCAAACAAACGTCCAACTCATGGGTCGGCCCTAGTACCTAAACGATAGGCCAGAAGGGTGATTCAATCACCGATCGGAAGGCCTGGCCGAGGAGGAACGACGCCCGCTTTCGACTTCGGCCCGTCTATCCGACCGGAGCGCCCGCTGCGGTCTCTGGCCTGCCTCCGGACGATCCCTCCGACCAGAAGGATTGGCCAAGCACCACTTCTGACTCTGACCCACGTCCCCGACCGGGGGTGCACCGAACTCCTGCTCATTGCTCTTCTCCGACTGGCGCGATCAGAGCCGACCGGGGACGCCCGCTTGGTAAGGACCAGGAAACGGACGGAGAAAATAAGGTAGGGCGCACAAGTCAAACCACAATACTGGGGACCGTACCTTGTATACTTGCAGAAACCGTACTCTGCAACCTCCTTGGCACGACAGAGCCTAAACAGTGTTGTAGGCGCCGATATTTTCTCCTATAGTATTGTGGGCGCCATTAACTCCCATACGGTAAGGCTCCCCCACATGCCTCTAGGCATCGACGGTGTTGTGGGCACCGGCATTTATCGTACCGGGCGAACATGGTAAAACCCCTCACATGCCTCTGGGCATCAACAGTATAGCAGGTACCGACATCTGCCATACCTGAAGAAGACGACGCGACCTCCCACATGCATTTGACACTCAACAGTGTTGTGGGCGCCTACCATCATCGTGTACCCGCCGATGTGGGCAACAAGGCTTAGAAGCATACGTACTCTCTCCCTCTCACTTGTAAGGCCATCCCCTTCATCTATAAAAGGGGATGCGCTCTCTCCCAAGGTTCAGAATCCATTCAGGTTGATTCAGATTCATTAGATCAATCGAGTTCACTAGTACACAACCACAGAGCCGCCAGGTTCGAACCACGAGCACACTCTTGAACACTTAACTCATAGCAGGGCTCCCGTCACTTTCGGTCCCTCTGACTAGAGTCCGACCGGACCTCTTGTACCCCCCATATTTCTCCTTCTCGTTTGTAACCCCACTGCAAACTTCGAGCACCTGGGCTCAGGAATAAAGTCACCGACCGACTCAAACTGGACGTATGGCACGTTGCCTGAACTAGTATAAACCATATGTCATTGAGTGCTAGGCCACCTCCGATCACAACGTACAGCAAAACTACAAATATTTACTTGTTGGTCACTTTCTGCACCGACATCATGTCTAATATGTAGCCCTGAAAGTAACCAGCAAACAAGAATAGAACCTTTCTTTCCCAAAGACTACATTATTTTTTTATCAGCCAAATATACCAACAAATTAAATTGCACTTTCCCACCCAAACTTGAGATGGCAAACTTGTGTCTACTTGTGCCCAAACCCTAAATAAATCCATTATATTTCTAAGGGGTTGTAAAGATCCTCCAAACAAATCTTGTGATATGACAAAAAAAACAAGTTGTTGCATAAACAACAATTATCATCATATTTCTTACACCATTTTAAGATATCATCGTTTGTTAAAATATCTCCCTTCAATAAGGACCAATCAAAGATATTAATTTTTAGAGGTAACTTTAGCTTACTTGAAGGTCAGAGGCAATGCAATCTAATTTACTAAAAGTTTATACATGAATTGTGCGGAAAACACCCTTTGTAAGTAGAACCCCATCTATTGAATCGGTTTTTTTTGGATAAAATCTGGTAGAATCAGTTTTTTTTATAAAGTCTTATAGAATTAGGTTGGTCTCTGCTCTAGTAACTTACCCGTTCCACTTGTATGTATTTTGGGATAGAGTGAGTAATTTTGATTCCATTAGAAAAAGTCAATGTACGATGCGTAATTACACGAGAGCACTACTTCCAAGACACAAGGAAGAAATAGACCGGCACGAACAAGGCAGGGCATTCGACTAATTCGGTTTGGTTAAATCGTTATCAAGAATTTTGTTTTGGTGAAACGTTAACCGAATTTATTGCCAAATAAAACTACCAACCAAAATAAGTTTCAGTCAAATTGGTTTGGTTAATCGGTTAACCGTAATACATATTGTACTTCTATAGAAAATAATACAACAACATAATCGTATTGAAAAGCACCTAACAAGAAATGCATCATATAATAAAACAAAAGGAAAAGCAACAAAGAATGCTTCTAACAAATAAAGTCTCAAAGAAATACGTTTACAAATGCAAATTGGCATAATTTTAGTCTTTGATATAAGACTCAGAAAGAATTTTGGTTAAACCGGTTGATCCGGTTAATGCCTTCGGTTAACGAATAACATCAAATTCTTCACCGGATAGTTCATGAAAATTTTAGTTAATCAACTTTTTCTGTTAAATCGGTTCGGTTTGGTTAATCGGTTTCAGTGAAATTTCCCAACCCCTAAGCATGAACACGTCCTCTACTCAAATCATTCCCGCTCCAGCATGGACACGCCACGTTGTATGTCCGTGAACTTAGCCTAGTGTCCACAAACATATTCCTTCTGTCCCAAAAATGATGCAATTCTATGTTTTGGATAAGTCACAAAATTTTAAGTTTGATCAAATTTATAGAAAAAGATATCTATGTTTGTGTCTACAATTAGATTTACTATGAAAATATATTTCATAATCAACGTAATTATGCCTATTCAGTATCCTAATGTTAGTAATTTTTTGTATAAATTTGATCAAACTTAAAATTGTTTGTTTTTTAGTGAAGTGATTTTTTTTTTTTATGGAGGGAGTATGGATCTGCGGAGGAGTTGTTTTCCAGTGGATTGTTCGGCTCGGCTTCGGCTCCTGCAACAGCTTACGCGGAGGAGTTGTTTTCTAGTGGATTGTAGAGGAGCCGAAGTGGGAGTTCGAAGGTGCTCCTGCTAAGTGCCCGGCTGCAGAGGAGCACTAGGAGTAGCCATGTCAAATAGCGTCCGAGTACCGGGAGTAATTTTGAAGAAAACGTCAACATGCGATGCGTAATTACACGAGAGTACTGCTACCGTACCGAGACACGGGGAAGAAACGAACGGGCACGAACACGGTCCTCTGAATAGCCTCGAATCGTTCCCGCGTGGACACGCTATCCGTGCTTCTTGCATCTTCTCTCGGAGGAAAACCGGCAGGTGCCTTGTGTGTAAATAGGGGCGTCCCCACTCCAGGCCACCCCCTCCCGTCTATTTTTATCACCGCTTCTCCTGTTGGTTAGGTCGTTTCTCCGCCTCCCTTTCCCTCCCGTCCCCGGCGGCCGGCCGGGCGTCGTGTTCGTCGTCAGCGCGGGCTATATCTCCCTCACGGCCATGGCGACTCCGGTATCCTTCTCTTATACACTGCAGCCCTGCATGCTTTGCTTTTCCTCCTCCTGTCTGCCGTACTAGATCCATCAATCGGTCGCATGCATCAATCATACATTGGCATTTCCAGTATCTTCCCTCAGATGCATCTCAATGTCATTCTAAAATCGGGCGTTGCAGACCCCAATTGGACGGTAGTTATCGACTGACGCGCAAGCATGCCGTTGCGTTGCAGGACAAGGGGCACGGGCATCCGCTGCCCAAGTTTGGGGAGTGGGACGTGAAGAATCCGGCCGCGTCCGAGGGCTTCACCGTCATATTCCAGAAAGCCCGCGACGGCAAGAAGACCACCGGCCCCGGGAACGTGCGCGCAGGCATACCGCCGGCCTTCAGGAACGGCGGCGGCGGCGGGTACAGGCCCGACTTCAAATACGGCGACAGCAACCAGTACACGCCGCCCAAACGCATCAAGGTACGTGTCTGTCTTTGCACTCTTTACGACCTACTAGACAATGCTCATGGTTATTATATATATACACGCCGTGGATCTTGCGTGTGCTGACACGTGGACCTCTGGATCGCAGAAGAAGTGGGCCTTCTGTGGCTGCTGATTCAAAGCTCGCTGCTGCTGCTGACTCGAAAGGAGAACGATCGTGCCGCACCTGAAGCAATCCAGGATGGGAGCGCCGGGACAGACGGGAAAACATTTCAGCCATGCTGTTTCGCCTTGCTTTTACCATTTTGCTCATTTCTACCGAGGAACAGTAGTTCCATCGGGGTTGAAACGAGTTATCAACATGGCTTGTACCTGAACCTGCAAATGTTCTTGATGAAGCCGTCGCGTCATTTGTTTCATGCCTCGTTATGACCGTACTTGCAGAAAACTTAACGATCACCCTGCCGGCAGCGGCAATCAACGATGCAAACGAGCACCCTAATCAATCACCAATCACAATTTCTGATGCAACGCGTGTTCCTTTCGTGTGCATTCAGCTCCAAACAGATTTCGCCAAATTATAAGGTCAGCGAATATACATATTCAGGCAACCATACGCTGTTCATCAAAAGATTAAACAACAGCCTCAGCAAGTTAGCTGGCACCAGATGTACCAGAGGTCGTTTATATAACAGATGAATTAAGCACCAAGTACCTGGGACAAATAGAAGCTACATTCTTTAGTTTACACAAATTCGAAACAAGTTCTAAATATGACAACAATCAACTGACTGCATTTGAGCCAAAATTTTCGTACAAATAGCACCAACTACAGTAATGGACATGTAGCTAGACCAGATATCGCCTATTCACCTATCAGTTATTTACCAGGGTGACACAACCAGAACCCCACTATGTGGCTGAAGAAAGGAGAAGGAAGACTACTTTCAGAATTTTTCGTCTCGATGTAGCCCACACACTACAGGCACATAGCAATCAACCACCATTAAATTATGTTACAGATCAAACCTAAGCATCTCCATGAGACATGTTGAATCTCCATTAGATGCATGGTCCGGGACCACCTTCCTCCAACAATGTAGAACAGAAAACCCACATATGATCCAAACTGTTTGTACAATAATGGTCCGACCAGTTCCAAGTGCTTCCTGCACGTCCATCATCATATGCCATCCACCCACCATCGCGTGACCGAAACTCTGCTGCCCTCAATTCATTTCATTTCTCAGGATTTTGTTCACCCATTGGATACTCTGGTACAGCACTGTCAGCAACTGGTTCAGGGTGCTTGATTGGATCAATATCAGATGAAACAGGCGATGCTGCTTCTGCCTCAGGCACTGAAGATCCAAGCGTACCATCACTCTTCTTTTCCTCTCCTAACTTGGCATCACAAAGCATAACATCATCCATGGAATCCAGCTGCTTCTCACTTTCAACCTCCATATCAAGAACTGCAGTATCCTTCTCAGCAACATCACCAGGTTCAGCTTCTTCCTCCTTCCATTCTACAAACTCAGGTTGACTTTCTTTTACATCTGGAGTTGGTGGTCTGATATCATCTTCCAATTTGTCAATGGTACCATTTGCCAAGCCAGTGTGACCAGACTCTTCGTTTGCGTCTTTGTTGGACACTGGTAGAGGTGGTTCAGAACCTTTTGTGTCATCTATAACCTCGCCAAGAATGACTTCATCATTTTCATCATCCTCTTTTAGTGCGGATATTTCCAAATTTGGAGATGGGGAAACTTCTGAGCTAACCACACCATCATTCAGTGCTTTGTCCTCTTCAAATGCAAACCAATTGGAATTTGTAAAGAGCGAGCCGCTGCAAACGACATCTTCATTAGTCAATTCTTGTTGCAAACATCAAATGTGCTTACAAAAGGAAGAACAGTAGTCAAATCAAATAGAATAAGAATAAACCTTTCTTGCTCGTCTCCAAGGCGAAGGGAGGAGATTACTACCTCTGCAGATTCATCATCAAAATATACATCCTGCGGCAGATATAATAACCAGAAAGGAAAACATCAAACATCAGGAAATACAGTATGTTCAGTTCAATTTAAAATGATACAATGAATCTAAACAGTAAATCTGAATATACCTCATCATCCTGCTCAAGTGATGCTTGAGCCTGCATGTATCAAATATAAACAAAAAGTTACTGAATAATTTAAAAAAAAAATGTGTTGCAGCTACAGCCAAAACTTGCTGTTTAGGTCCATGATAAAAATTAAAAATATTCTTTTAATGTAATTGAGCATTTTGGATCTCAGAAAAAACAATGATTCAATCTCTTAATGTAAATCAATATGCCTATATATAAAGCACTAAAGTGTGCTAATAGACCAAACTAGAAACAACTGCACTAATCAAGAGAAACTGACCTCGTCAATATCCTCATTACTGTAAATACCATATTTAAATGCCTGGCTTAAATTACTAGCAAGTGCAGCCACATCGTAGTCCCTATCTCGGAAGTCTTCATCATCGCTATCCCTACCACGATCCTGCAGTGATGTTGGTCGACTATAACCAGAGAAGAAAGTAGAAATTTAGCATATGATCTTTCATCCCAGTACATCTACACATAGCAAAGCCAAAGCAGCTGAAGTCTGTGGCAACTCCATATACTTCATGCAGGACATATTGACTGCCCTTTGAAAGTATTAAAGAATTGATAGATTTGGCATTAACATCCTAGAGAGGCAGAACTGCAGAAGTCTAACCACATCTGGGCCAAGCCGTTAGCGCAACATGAGGGAAGCTCTGAAACATCACAATATTGTTATTGGTGATTCCTTACATGCCACTGCAATTATTTCCTAATCCATCATATATGCATTTAATGTGTCAATGACATATGGACTGCAGACCCACATGCCAGTGACATTCAAGGAAATTTTCAGATTCCTCGTCACATAAGAGAAATTAGCTCTTGTTCATCCATGCGAAAAAAGAGAAAGCATCCTAGTGAGAACATCTTCTTCCTCCTCTTTTTTTTTGTAGGACATGGACATAACTTGTTCGTAATGGACTTGTTACGCCACAAACATCTGTTCACTACAGTTCCTTCCAAATCTAGCAAGAAGTCTAGGAGTAATGCAGGATGCGCTTTTGGATATCAAAGCAGCACAGTTGTGGTTAACAGACGTGCAATGTTTCTAAAGCAATCACATTGACTCATACTACTTTCTGTCTGTAGAACGCAGATTTTATGATTCATAACGACAAGCGAGTACATCATCAACAACAACAACAAAGCCTTTAAGTCCCAAACAAGTTGGGGTAGGCTAGAGTTGAAACCCAGCAGAAGCAATCAAGGTTCAAGCACGTGAATAGCTGTTTTCCAAGCACTCCTATCTAAGGCTAAGTCTTTGGGTATATTCCATCCTTTCAAGTCTCCTTTTATTGCCACTACCAAAGTCAACTTCGGTCTTCCTCTGCCTCTCTTCACGTTACTATCCTGGCTTAGGATTCCACTACGCACCGATGCCTCTGGAGGTCTCCGTTGGACATGTCCAAACCATCTCAACTGGTGTTGGACAAGTTTTTCTTCAATTGGTGCTACCCCTAATCTATCACGTATATTATCGTTCCGAACTCGATCCCTTCTTGTATGACCGCAAATCCAACGCAACATACGCATTTCCGCGACACTTATCTGTTGAACATGTCGTCTTTTCGTAGGCCAACATTCTGCACCATACAACATAGCATGTCTAATCGCCGTCCTATAAAACTCGCCTTTTAGCTTCTGTGGTATCCTTTTGTCAAATTTGCAGTTATTTCAAATTTGCAGTTAAATAAAAAAATGCACAAGATAAACCATAAAAAAGCTAAAATGTACTTACCCGCAAGCCCACTGGTAAACATTTTCTAATGCATTACGCTTCGTTAGGGTACTGGCATGCCACTCAATCCAATCAGAATTTTGCTGCAATCAAATAAAGCCTGTTATATAAAATTGGCTGTTGCTTGAATCATCAAAAGCAAATCACGCGAACAGTTCTTTTAGGAATGAACTTATACAGCAAAGATGAACAAACAAAGATAATACAGCTGACAACAAGCACAATAATTGGCACAAAAGGCGCATCAGAAATCTGCAAGATAGTATTGTACAAAACCTTAACATGTACATTCTACCAGCATATACAATCATGATAAACAATGGGTATTGCAGAGGTTACAATACTGCAGGTGAATTTAACTTGCATCTATCAAGATTTCCTAGGAACAAAACTTCCATCAAAGAACTTCAGGGGTGATACTGCTCAAACTCTGACTTCACATAAAGCTCAATACAAGATGGCAACAATAAGCAAAAAAGTTTACGTGACATTATTTTATTTTGAGCATTGTACAATGATCATCAGATAAATTGCAAGTGAATTAGCGATGGCTAGCAGACCGAGTAACATGTAAATAATTGCAGTTTTTTCTCTATACAATGATCATTGAACTCAAACCTGCAAATGTGATTGAACCATGATGTTAGTATTGGCCAGCTGAAGGAGCTTGTTAGCTATCCGTGTCATATGACCAACAATTCCAATCCTTGGTGGAGATCTTCCCTCTGAACACAATGTATGCTGCAAGAAAAATATAAGTGAACAAAAAAAAATATAAAAAAAAGATGATAAAGGTAAACCGCAGACAATTTGATTTAACTACCTCAGTTAAATCTGACGACAGAGCAGAGTTCTTCTCTGCTTCCAGAATTCTTGTAACAAGTTTACACTCATCAAGGACATGGCCAATCAGTTGATCCTGCTTACTCTCCAGACATGACCCGATGATATTCTCAACATGGTGGTGCAAAAAGTTGTTAAACGGGTACCTAATGATAAAATCTGTGTCAGGGTTTCAATAGTTTTCATATGCAGATTCCAATATTTAACTTACTCAAAAAATAGATCTATAGCATGCTTGATTGCTCCTAGGTGAATCAGTCGTGTTTCGGCAGCTTCACTACCAATTGATAGTAGAACAGAGATGAACTCAACAATCTGAAAATGAAATAACCAGCGTTAATAACAAAGAAAAATTAGAACCATTACCTGATATTCTATAAAGTAAAAAAATCAAAGAAACAGGTAGTGTTAGTGCTCTGGATAAACCAAGCAATCCTTGATATTTTCCACGAAAGATGTGTGTGTAAACCAACAGTGGCATCAAATGAAAAGTTCTCCAACACTAGTTGCTGTGCAGTTTAGTTCATGACTATTTAAAATCAGCAAATAAACAAAACAAGTACTGCTTACCTTTAAGCGATGTTTCCCGAGTGGAGGTTGTAAGCTTCCGTATGTCGTTGGCAGAACATTTTCAGCAGATAAAACATCCAGCAGCTTCAACAAATCCCCTGAAATATCATAGGTAAGAACATAGATGTTCCAAGGGCACAT